GTTCGATTTTACTCTGCCTTCCTTGGCAGGCTGTTTACACACTGGACGCCAAACTCTTAAAACACTCTTTTTTTTTGAAAAGCCTTTTGCATTTTGTAACTTTGTGCCTCATTAGTTGGTCCTGAATAGACAATCTCTGTTGCTATTTTTGACGGCTAAGTGTTATGAATTTACTCTTTCTTTCTACTAAATTTAAAAATGCTAAGAAAAGAAACCAACTGAATGTGGAATATGACCAACAGCTTAAGCTATTTGTCATCAAGTCAGCTATAGATACTTGATGAAAGAGTGCAACCAGTTTAATCTGTCTCATTGGTGAAACATAAAATAATAGCAATGTCATTGTCATCATTATCATACATTTTAAAATATTTTCCTAGTCTAAAAAAATGTGATGACTATTTAAAAATTCCTGGTCCACATTTGTGCCAAATACCCATTAAGGGGTCTTTGTGTGCTACATGTTTTCAAAACACTGCTGTAGGAGCCACTGACGTTTTAGAAATTGGGGAATAATCTAGCCAGAGCTGTGTTTCAGAAAGATAACTTTGCTTATCCTATATATTAATTCTGTTATTATATGTTTTTAATCATAGGATATGCTAAAAATTGATAAGCATTTCTTTGTGTTATTTTCACAGTGATCAATTGGCCTACACTAGGCAGTCTGTATAATGAACACATGTTAGAGATTACAGATCTGTCAGAGAAGAGAATGGAGGGTAGAAAAGAATAAAATAAATATAGTATGTCAAACTCTGCACACTGGTGTCTCATTTCTTATCTAAATGGTAATTACATTTCATTTTAGTTTGAGGACTCCACCATAGCTACCAGCTCTCTAGTTTTCAAAGGAAGTAACTTTACATGGAATAAAAAAGTCTCTACCCTAGTAGCACTGATAAAGCATTTGAAAAACACATGAACTTTCATTAAAAATTAATAACATGGCAAAAAAATAACATGGCACCAGCGAGACAATCCATAGAATTGTATATTTTTAAGTAGCAAAAAAGTTAGTATGTTTGCTAAATTAACTGCTAACTATTATAGCTGCTGAAGTGTGAAATAATCTAATAAGTCATATGTGATAATGTAAGTGAATTCTGTAGTGGAATTCAGCTACTACTAGAGGTAAATTCATGTTTTATAAAGAACGACTTTGAAGGAGGCTTAAAAAGTTGAGCATGTTACCTTCTTTGAATAAGAGATACATATGCTTGATTGTATAAGACAATCACAGTTGGGCTGCAAATAGCTTTTGCTTTTTACTTCAGTATAGCTCATGGCCACTTAATACTATCAGTTGCCACTTCACTTCAGTTCTCCTCATTAATGCTAGATTAGTTTATCAAGAGAGTGAGATGTTATAATAATGATGGCCTGAAGCCTACAGGTTTCATGCATTACCTCATATTTCATAAGGTTTTGTTGTATTGGCATTTCAGGATGCATCAAGCCTTAAGAATTGATGAGATTAATAACAACTTTTCAAAGCCTGATAGTTAGGCTGTGATTATTAAAGCACACTGTGACTGGGTTAATGTTTAACAGTGGCTGTCCTGCAGATTCACTTAGGGAGTTGGGAGATAGCAATTTTATTTTTCTTTGCTGAACTGGCCCTATTGCACAATTAATTAAGACCTGCTTAAAAATAGCCTTCATAATTCAGCTGGAGATGGGAAAGCCTTAAAAACAGTGGAAATATTGTAGTGAATTTATTGTCAGGGCTGAATTAGCTACTTTCACCCAGGTTGGATTAATGAATATCAGAGTTGTCATTGCTTTCTGGGTAGAGCACTACGACTAAGAAACAACTCATTTTCCTGACTGTACTCTGGGTTTTCAAAGTGACTGGGTGCTATTAAAGAGCTGACCTTGTATAGTAAGTTCAGTTTTTCAAGTTTTTCTTTAATTATATTGTATATATAGAGAGACATAAAACGTAAGTGTACAGTTAAAAGAATAATTATACAGTGAATACTCCAGTAACCACTTCCCAAATCAAGAAGAATGACCAGCGTTCCAGAAACTAGTCTCTTCCAGACAATGACCCTCTTTGCGGACACGTGCTCTTACCAGACAGTGACCTTCTCCTCTGGGTAGCACTTTATTTTTGTCATTTGCTTGCTTCTCTTTGTAATGTAATCACTTACATTTGCATCCTAAAAACAATATAATTTAGGTTTGTCTGATTTTGAACTTACAGGAATAGAGTAATTATGCTGTGTGCTCTTTTGTGTCTGGTATCTTTCACTCACATTATGATTGTGAGACCTTACCCATGTTAGTGCGATCCAGTGCATTTTTTTAAAAAAGAACCTTTTCTATATTTGCCTCTCTTCCTTTTATACTTAGGACCCCTATAACTAGTATCTTCTTGGACTTCTGCTAAATGAGGTCTGAAGACTAAGACTTGTCTGGACTCCAGTTTTCTGAGCTGACCCGACTGCCCCGGTTTGATGGCATTTGTTTAGATGAGACTACATCTTTAAGGCTTCTGTGCCCGGTTAAAAATCTTCCTTTCTCCAAGGCTGGTCCAAGGGTCTGGTCACGTGATTCCAACAGTGACATCACATTCTGACCGCCAGGGAACACTGGTAGTTCTTTAGGTGGCGTTTGTTGCTGTGAAAGGCAGAGAACGCAGCAAGTGCCCTTCTAAAGCACTTCAGAGTGGAGCTCCTTCTGTAAAAGCTCCTCAGCCTAAATGACCAAATGCGGGCTGCCAAGGTTATTTCTTCCTTGAGGCAGAAAAAAAGGAAACTGTGATTGAAGGTAAGCAGACTTGAGCCCGACCAAGGACTGAAGCATGCCCCCCGGGAACAGGGGGTCTGGAGAATAGCAAACAGTCTGTTGTAAGATTCTAATCACTGCCTGCTCCTTGAGAGTGGCCTGACAATTGCGTTTCTAACAGGAGACTGGACTACAAAGGAGGATGATGCGGTGCTCATGTTACCTAGTGATGTAATAGGATTCTTTCTTTTCTGCTGGAAGCTGTTGCAGATCTTCATTTTGCCTTAATATTCTTAAAGTCGAGGGCTTAATTTGATATATAGTGTAACATTAGATAGCTGTTAGATGCTTTGTAAAATCAGTTTCACAAAATCTTTCCCTCCCCCCACTTCTGAAAGAACTCTTAAGCCAGAGCAAATTCAATGGAAGCTTTAACCTGCCTTAGAAAGTAAATGTCTGGTTGTTTGGTGTCCTGTGTTCATGTTAGCATTTTAGTTGAGAATTGAAACAGCTCCCCAGGCCCCCCACACATACTCACACTCTTTCTGCCCTCATTTCCTCGCTGGCTTTCCCCCTCTAAGCTCTCAAGCAATATACCAGCTTTCATCTTTATCAGTATGACACTGACATGATAGGAAATGCTGGGCTGGTGATTCAGCAGCCATCCATTTTACAGCCAGGTACGAGTGAAGATATGGAAAGGACTTTGGTTTGGGGTTTTAAGATTAACTTGTTCACCTTCTCTACTCCATCCCCCACCTACCCCCACCCTACAGATGATTTAGACTCTACAGAGCTTTTCCCTTCAAATGTGCACATTGCTTGTGAAAGCTGTGCTGACTTAGATATTCAGAAGACTTAGAGTGGGGAAACTAGGTACAGCTTGGGATGTTCCTTCAAACTTGAAAGTGCTGAAGTTGTCTTTTAGGAGTTTATGTGAAGATGGGGTTGCAGAAGGGTCCCTCTTGGGCCTTCTCTGCAGAGGGATTCATTACCAAACAGTCTCGAGAAGCTTTGGCCCTGCCAAAGTTAGTGCTGCAAATGTGAGCTTTGGCTGGGAGAATTAAATGATGGCATTACTCTGCATTTTTCCCCAGTGTGCGTTTGCATAAATTCATCAGTACTGTTTTACATTTTGTGTTTAATAGCAAAATATTGTTCCATCAGATGATATTGCAGAAATATTTTGATCAAGTTTGTTAAGCCTTGTATGAGTACCACTTGTGAGTTTAAAAATTTCTCCATCTCTGCCATTCATCAAAAAAATTTTGGTTCAGTTGGTATTTATTGAATCTTGGATTTGTGCTAGACATTGTGGAGAAGCAATGATAAATCAGATATAGGGCTACCAGCAAAGAGCTTCTAGTCTAGAAGGGAAGATAAAACGTATGCATAAGTAGTTGTAATAGAAGTGTCAAAAGTGAAGCAGATAAGGGACTATGATTCATAGGTGGGCAAATGGATATGTTTCTTCTAGTTGAAGGATCAGGGATGGGCATTTCATCACTGAGCCATGCACTGTTTTTGAAATCTCTGTTTGTAAATCTTAGACTGTTCTGACATATATAAAAAGAGTTTCTACAAGTCCATTATGTCAGGGATGCAGTCTTATACCAATGGAAGGGAAATGTGTACCTTTCGGCCAACTTAACTCTTTGGAGTCCCCAGTCAGGCAAAAGCCATCTCATAGGACTGAATTACTGCCTTATAAATGTAAAATAGTTCTCCATTTGATATGTCTACAAAGACCTTTGACCCTTTTGTCTCCCTTCCAGGAACTGAAATACCTAAGCTGCTCCAAGTTCCTTTTTGTCTTTTATTTCGTAAATCCTTTCCCTTGCACATCAACTCCCGTCTTTTCTCTCTTTGTACTGTCACTCTCATCTGTCCCTTTCCATTCACTTTAGCCACTCATCATTTTGTGCCTGGACCACAAAAACCTCTGAATGTGATGAGTGTGCCCACCAGGTGACTATACTACTTTGTCAGCACACCTTAACTGTAGTAATCTGATGGTTTAAGGGCTTACCTTTTGGAGCTCAGAAAGAAAGTATTAAAAATGTTAAGAGCCGGCCATGGTAGCGCGTTCCTGTAGTTCCAGCTACTCGGAAGGCTGAGGCGGAAGGGTCGCCAGAGCCCAGCGGGTCGAGGCTGCGGTGGCCGGGAGCGGCCACTGCACTCCAGTCTGGGCGACAGAGTGAGACTCCAACTCAAAAACAAAATGTTAAGTGTCTGAAGTACTAATGTCTGTTTCGCATTCAATACAGAGGACAAGTCATATAATGGTGGTGGAATAGGTTCTTCAAATAGAATCATGGACTTCTTGGAGGAGCCAATCCCTGGTGTAGGGACCTATGATGATTTCAATACAATTGATTGGGTGAGAGAGAAGTCTCGAGACCGGGATAGGCATCGAGAGGTAAGACGAAAGATGGTACAGGAGTGTTAGGAAACACCACAAGAAGAAATTGAAGATATGTATGCTTTCTGTTTTCTTTCTTCAGCCCTGTGTGTGGCTGAATCTGGTTTCTATTGGCAGTGTAGGATTTCATTTTGAAATGTATTTTTAATTTTAAAGACATATGGTTTTCATCCTGTTTTTAAATTGTGTTTAATGATGACTTATCTTGCTATAGTAAATAGTCGAGAAAGGATCCTTACAGCCCTGAAATGGGTGTAAATGCCTCTGTAGAGTGGTGAAAACAAACTTGGAGGAGGGTGGCAAAGTAAACGTCAAAGATCTTTCTTTTCCATTCATATCCCTTTTATGGTTTTTTTCTTGATGCAGGATTTTTAAAACTAAGAAAAGTAAATGGACTTTTTAAAAAAGGAATAAAAGAAATATTCTCAGAACCCTAGTGTTTACTGAAGCATACAAAACAAACTCCTTGTGATTATTGCTCTTGTACAGCCATAAAACGAAAGTAAACTTACACTTTCAATTCCAACAAAACCACAAGACCAATCAAATTCAAATTAAGAACGTTAATTTAATGTGATATTCCTAATAACTATGGCACCAGTTCTTTTGAATTTGGCAAGAGAATGTCCCCACTTTCCTCTTTTCAAAGTATTGTGACCACCTCCCAGAGCACTCTGCCAAACTCATTTGCTTTTAACTTGTTGCTGTATATCTTATGTAAATTAGAGACTCACAATTTCTAGTTTGTGTCAGGGCCACATGGAGAGCTTATTAGAAAGGAAGGTATCTAGCACCAGAGATTCTCAGAAGGTGATTCACTTCTTCAACCCACAGTAGGTATTTCTTACTATTTCTGCTTGTACTCCAAATTTAAAATGCAATTTTTTAAAAGCTAACCCCATTCTCTCCCAAGTTCATGATTTCCTCCTCTCAGAGCCAAATCTCCTGAGCAGTCAGGTGGTAATTGCTTTTCATTCTTAAGCCTTTCCCAACTCCTGACTGGTTTTCTCACAGCCACCTAAACCCGAGAGTCAGGTTGTTCCAGGTACAGGTTTTTAACTCCTTTTTAATCTTCAGATTTGTGGTGATTCCACTTAGTTTTCTTATCACAATTCAGGAAGCTGATTTCCATAAAGCATTCTATGTTTTTCATAGGATTTCTTCTATTTGGAAACACACACACACACCCTTTCTATCATATCAATTCATCAGGCAGGCTTTATTTAAAATTTCTGCTATCAGAGTTCAGTTCATCATCAATTGCGTATTCAACTTGTTATTCAAATTATGAGAGTCACCTATGATATGACAAGGGTGCATTTCCCTTTATATTAATGGTTGCATCTGAGACAATGATGCCTTTTAATAATAATCTAAAACCAATTAAAGGTATTTATCAAATGGTCTAAGGGGGCTTTTTAAATATTAACTATTCATCATCAGAAAGGAAACAATGTCACAGGGAAAAATATACCCTTATTCGTTTTTAGCACTGAAGTTGGAAACTTAGAGTCATGGGTCAAAATCAATTTCAAAACAGCTTTTGAAATTTTTAGAATAATTTATTATATGTGATGTTGCTGTGAATGAAGGTGGAGTAGCTAAGTCACTGTTTCAAGGATAAGAAATAGAGGTACAGGCTGGCTCAGCGGCTCAGCCTGTAATCCCACACTTTGGGAGGCTGAGGTGAGTGGATTGCCTGAGCCCGCGGGTTTGAGACCTGCCTGGGCAACTTGGTGAGACCTCATCTCTACAATAAATCAAAAAATCAGCCAGGCGTGGTAGTGCACGCCTGTAGTTCCAACTACTTGGGAGGCTGAAGTGGAAGGATTGCCGGAGCCCAGCAGGTCAAGGCTGCAGTGGCTGGGAGTGGCCACTCCACTCCAGTCTGGGTGACAGAGTGACTCCAACTCAAAAAAAAAAAAAAAAAAAAAGAAAGAAAGAAAGAGAGGTACAAAAAAAGGGAAGTACCAGTGACAAAGCTGTCAGAACACTGGTTTTAAAAATTTGAACACTGAAGGGTAGGACCTAAAATATAAAATGTATTGTACCTCCTGATAGCCTCAGATATTGCCAGCAAATTTTTGAAAGTGAAAGAGATGCATAATTGATATCACCTAGTATCTGTGATCAGTGTACAATTAGGGGTTTTTTGGATCAAGTCTTGGAATTTGCCTGCCCTGGACCACAGGTAGTAAACCTCAAACTGTGCTTTTATTTCTCAAATAAGCCTGTGTTTATTAATTCTTTGAAAAACAATGAACTGTTTGCTGTGGGTCAAGAGATCATTCTTGGAATATCTGATATCCTGAACAGAAAGAAACCACTGCAATAACCAAACAGGTTGATGCTATAAGAAATGAGCAGCTGAATGGGTAATCCCTATAAATAAGATACTTGTGGGTGGGCATTACAGTTCTGTAGATGAAGGTGAATTCAGTAAACCTCAAAATTGTTGGTGAAATTGGTCCTGCTAAAGATTATGTGAGAAGTAACTCTAAATTGGTCTCTATTCCCAGGTGTTTTGTCTTTGTACTTGTTTATTGAGCAATTTTGAGGTGAAAAAAGGGTGTGTATAGAGTGTACCAATATTTTCTCATTTTTCTCTAGATTACAAATAAAAGCAAAGAGTCAACATGGGCCTTAATTCACAGTGTAAGTGATGCTTTCTCCGGCTGGTTGTTGATGCTCCTTATTGGACTTTTAGCAGGTATGGCAAACTATGTTAGTTTTCAAAACAAGTCTCCTAAAACTGTGATATGTCCCCTTCCCAAGTCATAAACTGAGAGTCAACTTCCATATTTTCCTACCTGAAATGAATTGTTGGTGAATTTTTCGGAAGCTCAGTGTCCCCATCTGTAACGGGATACTAATACCCGAATCACCTGCCTTAAATAAATGAGGAAGTACTCATAAATACATTTGTACACTACAAAATATCTATTACTTTTTTTTTATTTTAAAGATGTGGAGCCGGGCTCGGTGGCTCAGCCTGTAATCCCGCACTTTGGGAGGCTGAGGTGAGTGGATTGCCTGAGCCCGCGGGTTCGAGACCCGCCTGGGCAACTTGGCAAGACCTCATCTCTACAATTAAAAAAAAAAAATTTAGCTGAGCGTGGTAGCGCGCGCCTGTAGTTCCAGCTACTTGGAAGGCTGAGGTGGAAGGATCGCCGGAGCCCAGCAGATCGAGGCTGCAGTGTCTGGGAGCGTGCCACTGCACTCCAGTCTGGGTGACAGAGTGAGACTCCAACTCAAAAAATAAAAATAAAACAAAATAAAGATGTGGGGTACAATTCAGGGTTAGGTATGCAAATGTTCATTAGGTAGGTACCCTTGTTAATGAGGTGTGTCCCCAGCCCCCCCCCAGCTCTTATCCATTTTAAGGTGATTTTGGCACTGTGTTTCAATGCTTGTTTTGAGGAAAATCCCTTCTGTAGGAGACAGGTTTTTTTTAAAAAAAACATATACTGCATGGAATTTATGAGAGATGTGGAAGAGAACTTCCAGAGACATTTCATAGATATTTCTTAAACATCTACTCTCTCATTTGGTGGTACAGAAAAAGCATGTATGATAGGGCTCATACTCATAGAGCGCTTATCATCTCAGTCTTTCATGGTGGCTGTAGGGTGGGATGGTGCCACCTTTTCCTATAAGCTCCATTATCCTCCCCCACCACTCCAAATAATATATAATCTCACTAAAAATAGTCTAATTGTAGTGCAAATACAGCTTTTAAGCAAGTTCCCAAGCAGACTTTCCCTCCCATGGGGAAAGCAGAGAGCCAAGGATACCAGGCAGAAACGCCAAGAGGTGTGTCTTTATGGCATTAATAGAGAGGACCTAGGAAGAGCTGAAACAAGAGTTATGGAGGAAACCTGGAGGTGGGGAGTATAAAATGGTAGTTAACAGCCAGCACAGACTCTAGCTTTAGGCCCCCTAGATTTGAATCCCAGCCTCACTACTTGCTGATTTTGTCACCTTTGATAATTTTTTAACCCCTGGAAGCTTTCATTTACCGATCTGTAAAATGGAGATAATAAAAGTCCCTACATTAGAAGTGTGCTATAAGGATTAAGTGAGATATAGCATATAATAGCTTTGTTATATAAAACTTGTTAGCACGGCACCCAGTTGTTAATGCTGCTGAGAGAGAATAATTCATGAGCCATGGAGTAGAAAATTTCTGCAGCAAATGAGGAATGACTCATTCATAGCTGGGTTTTCACTAATTGTCTAGGACAGGGGTTGGCCATCTTTTTTTTCTGTTGAGGAACCAGATAGTAAATGTTTTGAGATTTGTGGGCTAAATGGTCTCTGTACCACCCACCCCATTCTGCCAATGTGGCACAAAACAGTGATAGGCCATAGGTTAACAGATGAGCCTGGCTGTGACCTGGAAAACTTTATTTGCAAATATAGGAGGCAGGTAGAATTTGGCTCTCAGGCCAGAGTTTGTCAACTCATGACCTTAGGTGTGAATTCTGTCTCTGGCTCTTACAAGAGAGAGAACATGGTCTGGCCAGTTGGGAGCTATAATAGATCTGGTGGTCTGTAATGCTTAGTATTGCAAAGAGGCTGAGGAGAGGTAAGATGGCTAAGAAAAGATTATACAGTCTAGCAGTTAGGAGCACAGCAATGACTTTGAAAAACTATCTCAGAGAAATATCAGGAGCTAGATTTCAAGGGAAGACAGCCAGCATAGAAGTTTTGGTAGTCATCAGAAAGAGGAAGGGCAAAGGCTTGAAATGGTAACAAGGACAAGGGACAGTATTTTATTCTTCGGGGTAGTGGAAACCTAATAAAATTTGTAACCAGAGAAGAAAACCAATTGGGAGGAGGAGGAGGAGAGGTAGAAGGAGAAGAGAAGACAGGATTGAGGATACCAGTTTTAGGTAAAATAAGACATACCACACACAAAACAACCAGAGAACAAGCCAAACTATATAATATCACGGTAACTTCTGAATTCAGGTGGTAAGTGCAATAAACATTAGAAGTTGGCGAAAGCTGGAGTCCAGAGTGACCTAGAGAAGGCGTCAAACAATGTGTTAGATTTGACTAGGTTCTTCAAGTATGTAAATAACCTGTGTTAACGCTTTTAGCACCTACCAAAACATATACATGACATGGCCTCCTGCCTGTTGGAATGTAGGTGTAATATCCTCAACTTCTTAATGTATTTCTTGTCACTAGGTGGTCAGTGAATATTTTTCTTTCCCTTGTACACACAGGGTATTTTGTTTTCAAACGTTGGAGAGCAACAATAGAAGCAGTGTGTCTGAATGCAGAAACAGTCTGGGAATTCAGGGGCTGTGAATTTTATGATAGCTTTACTGTTTCCCTAAAGCACGATTCTGAGCCATTTAATTTCTTTATGCCAGAGTTTCTTCATCTGGGCAACAGAAATGATGAAAAGGCCAGAATCTAAAGTACTATAACTGTCTTAACCCCATCAGTCTACTAGCCGTAGTGCATATGTCTCCAGTTTGCTATTCATTTCCTCATAATTTTCTTTGTTGAATGTTCTACGTATAATATTGTTTGCTACTTCTCACTAAGAAAGCTTAAGAATGTTCATATCAGCCAGGCTCGGTGTCTCAGCTTGTAATCCCATGCCTTGGGAGGCTGAGGTGAGTGGATTACCTGAGCCCGCGGGTTCGAGACCTGCCTGGGCAACTTGGCAAGACCTCATCTCTACAATAAATCAAAAAATTAGCCAGGCGTGGTAGCGCGTGCCTGTAGTTCCAGCTACTTGGAAGGCTGAGATGGAAGGATTGCCAGAGCCCAGCAGGTCGAGGCTGCAGTGGCCGGGAGCGTTTCCCTGCACTCAGTCTGCGCGACAGAGTGAGACTCCAACTAAAAAAAAAAAAAAAAAAAAAAGAATGTTCATGTCCTAGGTGCAGGAAGCTTCGATATGTCTACAGCTTTGCCTAACCTTTCATGCACGTCACAATTTGCTTTAATAAACTTAATTTCCTTAGCCTAGAATGCCTTCCTGCCATTGCTCAAATTCCCTTGTTCGTGGCGCACAATGTTGCTCTCAAATCTTAGCCTTTCTCCCTACAATCTTTGTTGACTCTCCTCCCCACACCATCTCAAATAAATATAGAATGTTTTTTAGTGTGAACAATGCATGTTTTCTCAATCTTATGTATATAGTGAGAATAAAATAATCTTTATATGGATTAGTATTCATAAACTCGGAGTCAAAGGTAGTGTCTTTGCCCTCTTAGCTCAACTTGATGAATCCACTAGCCCCTTTGCTCCCACCTAACCATTTTGCTTTCCCTAAGTCCCTCTTATATAGAAATTCTACAAATACCAGCATTTGACACAGAAATAATAAGTGAAAAGCAAGCAAGCAATCAGATAAGACGTTGCAGATAGAATGGGAAAGTATGTGCTCATCTGTTTTGATTCCTTTTCCCTTGTTTTCTCTGACCAAGCTTATTCTGATTACCAGAGTTTCAGAAATTGAATTGAACTTTGGCCTTTCCCTCCCTCCCCCAACATCAGGCTCTTTAGCTGGTTTGATAGACATCTCTGCTCATTGGATGACAGACTTAAAAGAAGGTATATGCACGGGGGGATTCTGGTTTAACCATGAACATTGTTGCTGGAACTCTGACCACGTCACCTTTGAAGACAGAGACAAATGCCCAGAGTGGAATAGCTGGTCCCAGCTTATCATCAGCACAGATGAGGTAACATGTAGTGATGATTTCTGAACTACTGAATTTTATTCTCACATTTATTTCATTTCTTCTACTGTACTTAAAACAATTATGGAATCTTCAGCTATTTTTCTTTTCACAAAAAGGGGAACCAGCACCAGCTGCCTTTCCCTGTGGTTTAATTGCAGCTCTATTTTCATCTCTTCTGACACGTGGAGTTGTTTGATGCTTATGTTTAAAATATCTGTTTTAAAGAAGTCTGGTGTTTCTTCTTAGTTATTAATACATAGTGCAACTGAATTTATCTTTTCCTAATAATTTCAGCAGAAATGTCAGAGACAGCCAGCAGGTAAGCTATAATTTCTAACAAAAGATGGAGTGGGTTAAAAATGTGTTTGTTGTATAGCTGCCAGAATTGATTTTCCCTGAGCATTGCATGAGAATATTGAAAAAATTATGACATATTCCATGTCAAAATAACAGAAACCCAGGAATAAAATTGCCTGTCATCTTATTTTGTGATCAAATCACGATTTTCATTTGTCCTTGTCTTCTAGCATATGTTTTTTGATGTAAAAGTAAGTTTGTTTTTCAGATTCTTACCCTTCTTATACCCAATTATATGTTAACTCTCTCCATTGAAAACAAAAGCACACAAAACAAAAGCCTTTCAACTCCTGTTTCCAGCTTGACTTATACCAACTAAGACAGGTATCAACTTAGTTCACTGCTTACTCATCCACTCTGTTGCTGAAGTGAGGGAGACAAAACTAGGCTGTGTTTGTACTTTTTTGTTTGTTTTGTGTGTTTTTGTTTTTGTTTTTGTTTTTTGTTTTGAGTTGGAGTCTTACTCCGTTGCCCAGGCTGTAGTGCAGTGGCTCACTCATGGCCACCCCAGCGTTGACCTGCTGGGCTTCAGTGATCCTTCTGCCTCAGCCTTCTAAGGAGTAGCTAGAACTACAGGCATGTGCTATCACGCCTGACTAATTTTTTAATTTATTATAGAGACGAGGTCTCGTCAAGTTGCCCAGGCTATTCTTGAACCCGTAGGCTCAGGCAATCCTCTCACCTCATCCTCCCAAAGTGCTGGGATTACAGGCTTGAGTGTTTATGTACATATATGACTATGCATATTGGCTTGGGGAAAGGATTCAATAAGAGGATTAGATATATACTGTATGTTTGAGAGAGTTGAGGTCTGTGGTTTTTGAACTGGAGTGAGGTCATCATGCCAGTGGGTAGGTGAAACCATAGAATAAATGCTATGTGCCTTCCCAGAGCATCAGTTTTTCCTGAATATTTGGAGGAAATATTTTTTTCAAAAATTAAGTGTAAATAATTATTAAAGAAATGGAAAGCAAATGCACATGTAGTTCTCTGCAATTTTATCTCGTATAGATTTGTGAAACCACTACCACAGTCGAGATTTAGAACTGTTCTATTACTACAAGACTCCCTTTATAGCTCTTTGTGTGTACAAGTGTTTCAACAGTTACTTTTAAACTGGAGCTTGAGATTTACTTGAGTGATAAATTTCTCTGGTTCTCCTTTTTATGAATGAAATCTTTTCCTCAGGAAAGAGTTTTCTAGGTTTTAAGAAACCTTCTCCAAATACCAAGAATGTGGCCTCCTGGTCTCTGCTTCTGACCAGTTTCAGTTACTTTCCTTTCACTCCCTTTCCCTCTTTGCTTCATACCTCTAGAATCTTCTTCCTTCCTAGTTCCTGTTCCTCTGAGGGACTAAGGTAATAGAAAACCTGTGTCATACTTACAACTCAGAAAAAAACCTGAGTGTTCTGGCTCTATTTGTCTAGGTCATTGAATTATTTTAATGCTGTTTTAAGTTTTAAAAAATCAAAAATACATTGAGTTTTATATTTCATGTAATTTGAGTGAATTTCAACTCCTAATGTTTCTACCAACAAGTATAACCTCCTAATCTTCAAAGCTTTTTGTAAGGTATGATGACTATTTGCAAGCCCTTGAATGTTGATGAATCCTTACTGATGGTCAAAAGGAGATTTCTTTTATGGTACACTTCATGTATAATAGGGGAATAATCACAAAACTGTAGCTGCTGCCATTTTATTCTTTGTAATATCTAACATCATCGGGGTCCAAAACTTTCTATTTGTACAGTTGTTACTGAGTCTGTGGTAGCAAAATTCTCTCAAAGATATAATCGTTATATGCAAAATCTTACAAAAAAGTTGAATAAACAGAAACAGAGTAGAATGGCAGTTCCTTAGGGCAAGGAGGAGGAGGAAATGAAAAGAAGTCCACCAAAGGGTATAAATGTGCAGTTAGATAGGTTGAGTAAGTCTAGAGATCCAATGTACAATATGAGGACTACAGTTAATAATATTGTATACTGAGAATTTGCTAAGAGAGTAGATTTTAGGTGCTCTTACCACACATACAAAGAAAGGAAACTATGAAAGGTGATGGACATGTAAGTTCGTTTGACTGTAATAATCATTTCTATCTATCTGTGTATCTATCTATAATCATGCTGTATACCTTAAACATATACAATAAAAAACAAATTCAAAAAAGAAAAGTGCCAAGTGTGGTGGCTCATGCCTGTAATTTCAGAAGTTTGAGAGGCTGAGGCAGGAGAATTGCTTGAACCCAGGGGTTTGAGACTAGCATAGGCAAAATAACAAGACCTCGTCTCTATAAAAAATTAGCCAGGTTTGGTGGCACATCTATAGTCCCAGCTACTCAGGAAGCTGAGGCAGAAGGATCGCCTGAGCCCAGGAGATTGAGACTGTGGTAAGCAATGGTCATGCTACAGCACTCCAGCCTGGCTGACAGAGTGACACCCCAAATCAAAAATAAAAAGAAAAGAAAAGGAAAAAAATCCAGGAATTTTGTCATTAGAATCTCCTGTGAAAATTTGGCACCAAGGTAAGTAGCCAAACGTGAATTTAATGAAACATTACATCTAATCTTCACTTCAAATGTGTAGCAAGGGTGCGGCCATTCCAAAAAAAGGTGGAGGGTTGTTAAGACTCTTGGTAAAATAAACATGGAATCATATATGTTTGACCACAAAAACCTATCAAAGCACTCATAAAGAAAGTAAATTTTAGCTGGGCTCAGTGGCTTAGTCTGTAATCCCGCGCCTTGGGAGGCTGAGGTGAGTGGATTGCCTGAACCCGCGGGTTTGAGACCCACCTGGGCAACTTGGTGAGATCTCATCACTACAATAAATCAAAAAATTAGCTG